GCTGCTTTTTGCATTTGGATACTAAACACTGAGCAAACCTTGGAATCAACAAAGGAACAAGGATAGCAGTCAGACTGTAGCATTTTAAAAATGCTTATGCTGCACGTAAGACTACGCTGATTACATAATGAAACGTGTGACTTCAGTGGCTCTTTCTCTCGGTCTTACTGTATCTAGCCTACAAAAATTGTGGCCTTGGTGAAGTGAGAGAACAGTGGTAGTGCAGTTTTCTACAAGCTCTCAAGAATGCTGCAGCACAAAACTTTACTCATGTCCTGGAAAGGAAAGTTTCCGGATGGGCAGCTGCCTGAGCCAGTGCCTCACCATGCTCTCTTAGCAACACGCCGCTCAGCGTTTGTTGTTTTTGCTTCCTGCCTTTGGAGGTCATCCAGAAATGACGTAGACTGGTGCAACACTATCTGGTGATCCTCCCCACCAATCCGTTTACAGATAGTAAATTATCTAAATCATTTTATCCAATGTGAGGCCAGAATGAGTAATTGAAAACTGTTTGTATAAAGCTTCTACGATGTGTTGGAGGTGGTTCCCCTGAGGCCATTTTTCTTTGTATGTCTTAAATGACAGTGCTTTGAAAAAAAAAGTAAGAGAAAATTTGAGAACACATAATGAACCTAAACCACATCCACTTAAACGTAGCCAAGCAGGACTTAAAAGATGGATGCATGGTTTCATGTTTGAATTTTGAGTTCACAGGCAGGTTTAAACAATATTTTTCTTTAGTGAATGAATGAGGGGTTTGCTCAGTAGCACTAATCAATTGTCTCGGTTGTGCATAATGTGCTTGCACACTACTACCTTTATAAGCAGGACACCAGAGCGTAGTTACTGCACATTGTGCCAACACAAAGTCTTACAAGGGTTGAACATAAAACTGATTTTTCAGTAACTTTTAGATGAAAGCTCTCTTTTCATGACTCATGAGCTACTGGATTCTCAATAAAGAGAAACATTTCCTACTTAGACTTCAGCGCTTGCACTTTTTGAACATCAACATTGTGTGAATTTGTGGGCTGTGCAAGCTCCAAACACTTCGTGTCACTTCTAGATACAAGACTGCTATTGTCCTGTGTCAGTTATATGCCATTATTTATGGGGGAAGTGCACACATGACTTAGTAGTCTAAAAAGAGAGGACAATATAGTCTCCTGCTTCTGTGGCACTAAGGGAACACCTATGTGTTTGCTATGCGTACAGCATTAAGTGCTGTAAGGTAATGGAAACAAACCTCAGGTTTGATGATTACCAACATTCATGCACTTGAAACATTACTACTAAATTTGAAATACATGGGTTTGAGGTCTGGCAGTTGTACTTGCACCGTGGCCATGTATGAATGCATCAGAACAGGATGTGAGAAAAGCGTGGGTTCAGAAAATTGTTCAGAAAACCAGTTCTCTCTGTTAGGTGAGCTTAATGAAAATGGCCTTTCCAAGAAACTGAGGACAGTTTATACATGGGCAATCTGCTCAACGTTGTCTGTACAAGAATCAGCTTGTTCCCTCTGCATCTTAAAAAAACATCCAACATGTAATTTATTTTTTCACACAAGCAGAATGAGAGAGTAAAGGGACCCAACTGTTACAGCACTGTCACGTAGGACTGGAACGGCCATGGTTTGCTATAGGCAATCCTTATATAATAAGGATTTGTGGCAGAGGAGTAGCATTGTTATCTGAGATACTGAAAACTACTGAATTTCTTCCCTCTTATAAATTTGTGTAATGCTCCCCAGAGTCTGCTGCAGTATGTTTCTGTACACATACTGCATCCCCTTTGATGGCTTCCTGCCTTCCTTCCACACATGGAATAAACACAAGATATTGATACTGCTTTCAAAGAAAGAGTGCAGGAAAAAAATTTCTTGCACAAAATATTAATTTCATCCTCTTCTCTAACCTGATTAGAACAATTAGCACTAATGAAGTGTAAGACAGCTTGTAACCTAACTCCACTCACCAAATAAATTAAATTGTTTTGATTCATATTATCACCGGACAGAAAGTATTAGCACAGTGACTACATTACATGCCTACCACAACACGAGTGCATTTGTGAACCGCAGCATCGCCCTAGGGAGTTGGTTTCACAGTCACGGATCATTAATCAAGTGCTCTGGGCTGCTTTAGTTGCGCTGTTTCATTGATAGATTTGCTCCACAAAGGTGAATCACCATTTCCACCTGCTGCCCAAGAGAGAAAGTGTTATCACCAATTAAGCTCAAGGTCTGAACCACAAAGGTCCTACCCAGAATCTGAACTGAGAGTGCAACTCCTCTGTTCCACCATAAGTAGAAAACAAATAACCCCCTCAATCCTTTCTGAAATTGAGACATAACTTGTCCCAGTTCTTACTGGGCTGAGATACATGCTGCTTTGTTTCATTGTTTTTACTTTGAATTACACTTCTTATTAAAAAGAAATAAACCTGCTTACAACTTAGTCCAAATTGTAACTAGAATTAATGCGAGAGACCAACAACCTCCCCATACCTCACTGCAGGTAACAGAACTATGCCCCAGTGAATTTGGCTCACTTGCACGCAGTAAGGCGTAGCATGGGAAACGCCGCTCTAGTGACAGAAGCTATAACATAAACACAGGAAAGGAGGACCCTGCTAAGCAGCGGGTGACCTCTAAAAGCACTGTGTATTCTTTGCCTCACAGCCTTGGTGCGTCCCCACCGGCTGATGTTTTTGGTTAGCGATGAAGGTGAACAGTGGGAGCAAAGGATAGGACTGATCGGCTTGTAGAACTCTCCCCGACATACGTCCCTTTAATCACCAGCAGCCTGTCTAGGAGCTGGACCTCACCTTTGTCATGCACAGATGAACACGCACTAGGTTCTCCTAGGCAGGTTATAAATAGCAAAGTTCTGACAACAGCACAAACTACTCAAATTCTGCTTCTGAGTAGCAGAAGACCCAAATCCTTGGTGTTTTCAGGGAAAAGGAAGGATGTGGGCTTAATGCATAATGTGCACATTTAACTTCATTAAGTCTCTTTCCCTTGTTTTTTTATATATAGAAATAAGTATGTGTAACTGGTAAAGTTGTAGATAAGATGTAAAACAATGTATTTAACAATGAACTCTTATTGTAAGTAGTTCCTCTGCAAAACAAATAGCTACCAAAGCACACTGGATCACCTGCATAAATATTCCCCGTAAAACACAGGGAGTTTACAGTGATTATCTAATTAAGAAGGAACCACTGCAGAGTAAAATTATAGGGAGAAATTTGCTACCGTTAGCCTTACTTTCTTCCACCCTATGTCACCTTCATAACAACCCAGATTTTTTCCCCCCAGCATTCTATAAGCAATTAAAGCTTCTTTTTGGGTGAAGATGCTCTCAAGCTAGCTCTGCGAGAACAAACTTTGGACTCAAAGGGCTCAGTACAGTGTGGAGACCTGGCTTCATATCAGTGCAGTCATGTTCATACGCCGCTGCTTCAGCATCCAAGATGATTCATCTATTGGAAAACTGCATTGCTGTAAGGGTCGAACTGGTCTGGACACTGCTAGCAAGCAGATCTTTCACATTGCTCTGCCTTGCAACATCAACAAGCCCTTAAGGATTTGGACTGGGGTGCAGGTTCCTGGCATCGTTAACTCTTTGGATTTTGTCTATAAGTAACATTTCATCGGCAGGAACTAAACGGATTTTCAAACCACAGACACCATTACCAAACCTGGGACAGCTTAGCGTGCAGACAACATCAAAATAGCAGCATAATTTAAATCACATTATGCAATTTTTAGCAGCTGTTGAAATTCAAGTTGCATTGATTGTAGTAGGCTGGCTGAGAAACTACATTTATTTAGTTTGTTCTCTTCCATTTTAAAGCTGTCTATAGGAAAAGCTTGAATAGGTTCACCACAGTGGCTGTAATGAATCTTCATAAATGAAAGTAACATAATAATCAATTGTTTGGGAAATGTTACCTGAATATAAACATTTTCTCTCTTCTTTCTTTTTTAAGACTGAGCAAAGCTTTTCCCTTGCAATTTCTCTCTTTTTTTCATGCAGATTAAAACATACAAGAAGCACTTACAGGATCCTCAGTTTTATATGATTATAGGATAACATGCACTGCAACTAAAAACTATGCTATACTAATTCCATAGGCCTCTCCTTTTTGGTGACGTTTCACTCTGTATCTTCCCCATTTACAAAAAGTAAGTTTTTAAAGGAAGTTGGTCTTTCCTCTAGAGCTCCCAGCAGAGTTTTCAAAACTTTGACAATTTAGTTTCAGTATGAAAATATGACTTGTGTTCATATATTTTTGCAGCAGATGTCCCCAAAACACTTGGGGTATGAAACAATTTCAGAGGCGACATACTTGATTACTTTTGAATTTCTATGAAGCAAAAAGAAATAAGAATTGAATGAAGGTTTAAATGAAAATGTCAGTTTATTGGAATTGTACCTTTGCAAAATGTTCCTAGATCAAGCAGCAGATTTTTTCATTTAGAAGAAAAAATGGAAATAAGTCCCTGAAGAGCTACAAACACTGCCTCTACGAAAATGGCTGTATCACAAAAACACAGCTGAAATTTCCCCCATCACAATAATTCAGTGCTTCTCTTCTGCTTGTAATAAATTTATAGTCCAATTTGTCTACAAATTTCTTAATTTTATAATAGGAAAGAGATGGTGCATTTCTTAGTGGAAGTTGTTCGCCTGTTTTCCAGGAACAGCTTCATTAAGTGCTTTCATTTGATGTATGATTGTATGGGCCCCCATCCATATGTGCTATCCCATGAGCTTTGATTACCACATGTCTTTTTAAAGAAATGGCAAGATCAAGCCAACACATTATACAAATACACCAGACTGAGTTTATAGTAATCTCCTCCCCTAAATTAAGCAAAATGAAATGACATGCCAGAATGGAAGCAGTTCCGAGAGGAGTGTTTCAAAGCAGGGGTGAGTTCTGATTTTGTATGCACAAGGCTTACAAAAACATTCTGCTTTGTTCAGATACTTCAGGAAATCTTCCAGACAGAAGACACAATCATGTTACTGGAGAGATCCATAAAGGCAAAGGAGTACCCACTGAAAGTGGCTCAGACCCGCCTGGAGGGAAGAACCAAACGACCCAATATAGAACTTTGCCGTGATGCACCTCAGTTTCAGTAAGTAAAGGCTAGATTACTCTGTCCCTTCCTTCATCAGCCACTCAAGAATGGGAAATTTAATGACAGTGTGAATGGGTTTGATGAGGTTAGAATTGTATTCATTACACTGCGATACAAATTCTAGAAGAAGATAGTAAAATCCAAACAGCTATGTTAAAATAATGGGCCAAAACATCTAATGTTCAATGTGTGTAGTTGCCTTTAACTGTCCTGGGAGAGGGACTCTAAGAGCTCAGTTGCCTGTTGGTGGCTGATATCTCTTGGCATTCACTCTCATGTCTGAGTTGAGGCTTAGAAATTTATTTTAATTCCATTCCCTATGAAACACAAGATTTCACTTTAGGAAATAACATGTTTCTAAAAATCAGTTATCTCAAACAAATTTCTGTCTTTCGATGCAAAAAACTATCTAATGGTCAAGCTCCTTAAAAAGTTAATTGCAAATAGGAGTGAGGCAGCATCTCTTACCGCCTCAGCTAATTTTCAACTATTTAGTGCCTCCAGTATCATCATTGTACAGGTCAGGTCACTTAGCATACATTTCGGTTATAGAGCTGCAGGGGCTTCCCAGCACCTGCTGGCATCAGCCAGGTGACCCCTGTGCTGTGATCCATTATATAGTGTGTACTGTGTCTTTCTGGATGTACAAGATGTCTGAGATACTAGTCTTCCTTCCCTAATGACTGAAGAAGGGTCTTTGGAATTTTAATCCCATTTAGCTCCCTCCAATCCAGTTGGAGCACACCAGTGTTCCAGAAGAACACTACTGAGTATATCTTATTTAAAATACTGTCTTCGAAATATTCAGGGGGCAGGGGGTGGGGGTGTCTGTCTCAAGAAATACTGCAGCAGGGTTCTTCCCATAGCTGGAGTGAATTTCACAGTCCAGTAAGAGAGAATTTTGCATATTTTCATGAAAAGTGGAAAGCCATTGCCTTTTTGTTTTTGTCTCTGGCAAAACCTCACTGTATAGAACAGCTTCACATGCAATGAGATGAATGAAGTACATAATGGTTAAACTGAGTATTTATATTATTTTTCCTAAACAGTGTCCTATCAGCTCAAAAAGCTTTTAGTCAAACAAGGAAGGGGCAATAAATCATAGTTTATTGTACTGGCATCTTTTCACTTTTTCTAACTCCTTAAACCGTAAGTCGTAAAATGCAATATATATTTTTTCAGCCTCATACCTCCTTAATCAGATCTTGACATTTCCTTTGGCATATCCATATATTAGATTTCTTCAGCTTTGCACTCTACTCTCCACATCCATTCTGTCACAAAATACTGTTTTGGATCTGAATTCTTTTATATCCATTTGGATAGTTTTATTCACGTGGCAGGAATTAGCTGTAAGAAACCAGAAAAACTTCTGATTGCACTGTAGCATTCACTTAGCAGTTACATTTACTAATTAGCAGATCATCTCCATTTCACTTACCACTACATCATCAATTAGGTATGCAAATAAGCTAGTATCAGCATTTTATTAAAAACACACCAACAAAACAAAACATGATGTCCTTAAATATTAACACACAACTCCAGTCTTATACTCAGTCTGAGTCTTGTTCTCTCCCTACTTCCTCCCTGAAGATCTCTTCCAAAAAATGTCTGCAGCATTATGATTGATATCAGCCCCGTCAGCAGGACTGCATGTATCCAAGATGTAAAACTTTCCTGATTTAGGATCAAAAATGTGCTGAGGCAGAGTGTCACATTATTCCTTCTTCTCACACTTGCCAGTGATGCTGTTGATGTTCAAAAGGGTCCCGACTAAAAAAGTTTGGAAGCTTCATTTGAAGCCACTGGAATATCAGAATGTCTTTGAACATTTTCTTCAATTAGGTTGAAAGGACATTAATGTGAGATGCTTAAAACCAAAAAGTACGTAGGTGTTCTAAATCAATCCAACTTCTACTAGCTTATAGGTTATATAAGAGCTTCACAAGCTGTTGCACAGCTATTCGAAAGTATTTTAGGCTTAACATACACACAAATTTTCTGTCAGTCTAATACGTTTTCTAATAATTTAACCAAAATGTTTATACAAGTACACTGTTTACTAGAGGTAGTTACATTGGCAGGCAATTAGCATCTTCTGTTCTTCTTCCTCCAATGCATAAGAATTTTGCTCTACCACAGCTCCCTACTCCAGACCAGGTTATTTTGGATGTTTTACCTGATCCAAATAATTGAATTTTATGTAACTGCAATTAGAAATAGAAATTCTGATAGGGTATTTGAAATTTAGATACTGTTTTCTATCACAGTTTTTGTCTGAGCTCACATCTCTAATAAAATGTATTTTCTTAGAGACAAAATCGTATCTGAGAAAGTAAAACCATTTGCTAATTCACTTTTTAAGGATTTTTTGCTTTTAATTGATTTGTTAACTGTATTTCTCATGTGGTTTACAGCAAGAAGGAATTCAGCCCAATAGCTCAACTGTAATAGGGAAAGAAAATATCAGATGAACCACTTCTTTGTAACATGTAAATGTTATCTGAGCTTGCTGTTTATTTAAAAGGAAGTGCTGATGTTGGCACTTGTTCTCTGTGTGTGCTGCCAAGTTTGTAGTTGAAGGCATTACACAGAAAACAGATTAATAAAGTCTAGTTTTTCTGTGCTGAAGCAACTGGGACTAACCCAGAACAAGTCAAAGTGGGTTCTGGAAAAATCAATCTTTCTTATAGTCTATAGTGCAATTAATAGAACATTAGACAAAACACAAAAGTTGACAGTATTAAGAGAGTTTACCAGATCAGTGATTATACAAGAAGATTTGCCACATGTCCATTGATAAGCCACTGGAAGAAATGTGGCTAATATCAGCTCACAGGAAATCTTGATTTCAGAGTTCCAGATTCAGTGGTTATTCTGCCAGCGATTCTTGTACCAACTAACAGGCTGCTGTGCCAAACCTAGACTGTTTAGCACATCCTGTTGCACAAGTTGAAACTATCATGAACTGCACCAAAACTCTCCGGTAACATCCATCCCAAACATATTCTGCAGGACCGTATGCAAGTGCTCAACACAGCCATGCTAGCCCTAGGGGCTACACAAATGACAGGCTGCAAGTGAAGAAGATAGCAATTAGAAAAATATATCAAAGTGGCTTAGTCTGCTGTTGAAGGTCAATGCAAGCAAGAAATTATCACTTCTTATAGATGCCCTACTGATTCAGTCCAAGCCAACTGTTCAAATCCTGCCTGAAAGTGTGACCTGTCCACTGTCAAAACAGGAATGTGGCGAGGGACTGCTAAAGTTACGTGAGCAACCTGTCCCCTTCTCTTTTTCAGGCTTGTCACTGAAGTTTACACTATAGATGACACCTTACAAACCCTAAAGCAACGTCTGCAAGAAGCCCGTGACACTCTGCAGATGCTGAATGTCAACAAATCAAAGCTGGAACATGAAATTTCTGTGAAGGCAAACTCCTTCTTCATTGACAAGACATGTATGGACATGCGCAAAGTCTTCCCCAGCACCCCACGGCTCATTGGCTACACTTGAATAGTAACCTTTGATATCTTAGTGCATGACATAAAAGTCGCAAAAGTTGTGACTATTTCCTGAAGGAAATCATTATTATTCTGTTGTCTCCAAAAATGAAGACCTATAGAAATAAACTAATGAAAATTAATATCATGCCTCTTTCCTTTGAACAACCTCGTATTCTCAGCTGTAGCTATTACTAATACAATTAGTAGACTTATTCTAACAGAATCAGACCACGTAAAATAACCAGACAAATATTACAAGACATATGTGAGTTACTAGCTAGAGAAAAGGTTAGACTGAAACGCCGAACTTCAACAGAATTAGTACAGTACAGGATTTAACTGTTCAGGATAATGTGCCAGCTGTGTTTCAGTCCTTGTCTGGAAAAGTCCCGTTTAAACGCTTACTCCATCCTTACACTCTCCTATCTAGCAATGCTAGATTTGGTGTTTAGAATTAGAGGAGGTTGAACAAACTTAATTCACAGAAGCTGAAGGGCAATTTCAGTGCAGCCACTTCAGGTACACATGTAGCCTGTATTCACCGAGAGGGAATCTTTCCATCTGTACCTCTTTTTTTCTTTTTAATTGGATTTTTCATCCAATTAAGTATGAAGAAAATTTGTCTATTTATATGAACTATTTCTGACTGATGTGGTATTTGCCTAAGTCTGAAAGGTCTTAACAAATATGCGCTATCTATCATTAGATCTCAAAGGGCTATATGAGCAAAGACTCGTTGCTCTACTGTGACTAACGAGAAAGTTAAGACAAAGCGGGAGTGGGACCAGTGTACAGGAACATGATGGGCTTAAAGTGCGTTGAAATTGTCCTTCAGTCTGTAAGTCAAGACTGCTCAGCTTTGTAGTTCTCAATGGAGCACTACTCTGAAAGATGGAATGGATCTTTGAGATCTGACTTTTCTGGATGACAGTTGAAACACATTAACAGTGCCGTAATCCTAGTAAAGGATTTCAGGAAGAACTGGTTTTAACTGATGGTAAAGCAGTCTGTTTTGTGCAAAATGGAGTAATAATGTTTTAGCGTTATTTGTGGTTATTTCCTGGGTTTACTCACATTCATTTACAGAGTAACCGGCAAACTGCCATTCTAATAACTGAGCTGTTTCCTGCTACCTCTCTACAGGGCAGCTCCAGGAACACACAAAACGCATTTCACACTGGAGCAAAGCCAAACCTGAAACAATGCTAGATTTGAAAGTCTCCTGAATAAACTGGCTCTGTTCCTCATCCTTTGTTTTGTGTGGGTGGTGGCTTAATCTAGCTACCAATAAAAGTAACATTGCTGAGGCACGCCGAGCTGAGCGGTGCCGACAGTTCCCTGCGAGTTAACCTCGGCTTTCGCTCAGCATGGCTGTGGCCGAGCCATCTGACACTCAGTTTCTCTCCTTCAGTTAAAAAACTAGTATCTCCTGGCTATTATGCCACACCATTTACATAGTGGTATGTTTCTAAAGATTTAAAATCATGGGAAACCATTTTAGAACACCCAAGTGGGAAGTGACAGCCAGGCCTACTTCCGATACTCATTAAACCCATCTTACAGTGACTATGCTGCATCTTGATTTTCTAAATGAGGATAATGCCATAGTCACGTTGCACGTGCCTATGGACAGGGCAGGCTGCCCTGTACAGCAAGCTGATGCCAAATGGTGGCTTTTTGGGAAGAATTTCTCTGAGCATAGGGAAGGTTCCAGAAATAATTTGTGTTTATATTGCAATATATGACTGCAGAGAAGTTCAAGGGGTCCCGGTGACACACCACTGGAGACGGGAATGCTGTTACTGAAGACTTCACTGATAATCTGGTTTGAATTACTAGTCATATCTTTCTTACACAGAAACACTTCACAACAACTTCTGTCACAGAACCTGCCTTGGGACATGACACCAGGTGGGAGGAGTGAGGAATCTCACTGTTTTGTTTCCCAGCTGGGAAGACTGTTACCACTGGTAACATCTTCCTCCCTCTCTATGCCTTTGTATGGAGGCAAGGGAAATTTTATCACTTGCTTCTGTTACTACCAAACTGTAATATAAAGCACTTGATTTGCATTTCATATACTATTTTTACAATGTATGAAGAATAATATTTGTGTTGAGCTGTTAAATATTGACAATAGTCCCACCCTATTTATCAAATACTGACAGCTGACCAAGCAAAAGAGGAAAAATTATTTGGAAATTTGGATCTTCTTCAAGCCTTTAAATAAATTTCTAGAAGTTGGAGGCTTTCCCAGTTCACACAGCTACTCTAACAGCTAGAAGTAGTTTCTCCCCTCCATCTGCCAAGAACTCAATTAAGAACTATATAGCAGAAGGGAGGCACTTCTAAGAGAGCTGAATTCTTTTAACAGTTCTTGACAGAAGAGGAAAAAAGGAAAAAAAAAATCTATGTCTGAAAACAATCAACATCAGTGAAAGGTCAGCCTGAATCAAAGCCCTGAATTTGAAAATTTGGGGGCTTTGGGATGGAGGTGGTGGGGTTGAACAATAGTTCTGAGCATCACAAATTCCAGCTCCTTCGTGACTGTGCTTTTGTTCAGCAATGTTCTCTACAAGACCTCAGCTCTGCTTTTGGGTGGAGTACTCACTTGGTACATTGTCAGTGCAAACAACACTGAACTTGTTTGAACACAGTGTGAACTCCTACTAAGAGTGACTGCCTAAAACCATGGATCTATGACAGTTAGTGCTGTTCTTTGAGAGCATCATTTTGCATGGTAACAGTAATTCCCTGAGATTCAGCTACATCAGCAGG